GGAAGAACAGGAACTGTAAGCAATTTATCTGCGCTAGTAAAACGCTTGTTTAAAGTATTGAAACGAACTTTTGAAACAGTGTTATAAAAAAGTAAGAGCATTGTTTAGACATTCTAAACTGCAGTACATGTTTAGTATGAATAAAGAGTATAAAAACCGTTTGTAAGCCGACAGCTCTTAAGAGGATTGTACTGTTCAGTTTGGATAAATCGATTTCGAGTGAGATCTTAGATTCTTCTCTGTTTAAGTGGTATCACTTGAAATGGAGCAGAACCTGTTGCAGGGTCTCAGTGTGCAGAAACTGCTCGTGAAATCAGTCTGGTTTATAAACTGTCAGAAAATATTGGTAGAAACATCGGATTTGGTGACAAAGAAGTAGTCACATGGAAGTTACTTTTCTGAACCGTAAAATATCAGGAAATTAAGCGTCCAAGCTAGAAGCAGAGTGTAATACTTAGTTCTCGGGAGTGAGAAACGCTTTAAAAATGTGATGTTGATATGGGATTTCGGCAAAAGGCTGCTCTTCTCTGATTGCTTTTTATGTGATCGGAGGTAGTTCGGAAGCTGGAAATGGCTGTTATACGTTTGTTATCTCGTCCTTTTCTGTTGTTGTTTTGGCAATATTGATATTTGTTATGTTACAGTTGTGACTGGCAATAATGTTTATTCAAACAAAATTCAGAAAGAATGGCTTTTTAGCGGACTTTTGCAGTGGTATATTTCCTGAATAAATGGTGAAAATAGAAAGGTCTTTGTGATAATAATTCTTCCTAATGATAATCACGGTTTTATGTGTTATCGTTCAGATGGTCTTTTCCAGTATTCTTGTAAACTGTTGTGCTTTGTAAATACTGAATGAGTCGAGGATGGTTATCAGCAGTAGAAAGGTTGGCAGGACTTTCAAGAGTCAATGTATATCTCTGTTTTTACGGATTAAGTCAGTACAGTTTAGTGTTTTGAGTAATATTTACAAATTTTGTTTAAGTGCATCGAGTAAAAATTTTTTGACTCAAAATGAACGCATAGATTTTTTGGGTAAGCATAAAGTTTTGCTTGTTGAAGAGAATATAGGATACATGACTAAATCAAATTTTTTATTCTCTTTTTATTACCATTTTATTAGAACTCTTGTAAAATCCTATTTTTTTTGGTTAACGTACGTTTTTTAAAGCAGCTGCATTTGCTACGTCTGCAAATGGAGTGTCAACACTAAAGTCATAGGACATTGTTGAAAAACTTTAAGTAATTATTATGCGCTGCGAACTGGCGAAAATAAAGATCTGCAGTATTTAACAAGGTTTTTTGATACTGGTGCTATGATCTGGTACTACAAGAGGATTTCAAGTAAAGTGACTTGGTTTCAATAACTAATTTGTCTTCAAAATACGTTCTTTAGTTAGATTTCAAGCTACTTTCCTGAACTTATTTTTTATTATTGTTCTTGGTGAAACACTGAGAAAGTGTTAGTAGCAACTAAATATGCATTTCTAAAAACCATTTTTTAAATTGTTTTACTCTAAATTTTTTGAGTGTGCTAATATTTTTCAAAAGTTTTTTTGACACATAATACAGGTCTTATTATCAGTCGTTTGGATCAGGCCTTGTGAAGCCGGCTTCTTAGTTCTGCAGCGGCTTATATTTGTGTTCTAAACTTAATTTTGTCGAACTCCAATGATATGCGGGAACGCCATCTTTGCAAAATTTGATTCAATATAGACAAGAAAGTATGCTTATTTGATAGTGATATCATGATATGGTATTACGGATGAATCGTTCCAAAAAATTTTTTTAATATGGGCACTTATGACCATAGTTGGTAACGGGCATCTTGCAAAGTAGGTTTTTTTAACTTGATAGATAAATGTTGGTAGCATTTTTTTCTGTAAGCTATTTCCACAAAATTTCAGGACATTAAACTATGGGAAACTTTACTAAAAAAACGACAAATTGGTTTTTTTTTTTCGATGTTTTATTTTCTTGATTTTTGGAAAAATTTATATTAGCATTGTTATTTTTCTTGTTTTGTCAGCAAAGAAAGGAAGCCGTATCGTTCTTCGCGGGACATTTAAGAGCTGTGGCAAAAAAAAAAAAATAAAAAATAAACTCGACTCTCAACGCTGCTTTTCGCTCATTTGTAGTCTCATTGCTTCACATAATTGGTTATTAACCGTAATATTTCCGAATTTCTTATTTGAGGATTATTTTTCAAGTATGTACACACAGTATTCACTCTGGTGTGGAAACTTCTGAATCTGGTATAATTCCTGAGCCATCCAGTTTTTTATTGGCATTTCTTCCTAGTTTTTTTGAAAGATAAAGCCTTAGACTTGATGAGGGAGGGCGCCTTTGGAGAGAGGAAGTAATTTCACTGTAAAAAAGTTAGAGAACGGGTTTTTTTTTAAAGTGAAAGCATGCTAAAAACAACTGTGTTGCATAAGCGTCTTATCAAAAAGTTTAGAAGTATGAATGATCACTTTTTTGATTGTTGATGCTATGAATGAATGATCAAAGTGGAGAGGAATAAATTTGTGAGTTTGGATTGTTTTTATTTGTAGCAACTAATTGATTCTTTAAAAAGCAGCAGTAGTCTTTCGCCTATGCTACGGAATCTGACAAAAGGTGATTTAGAATAAATGCAGGAGTTTGATCAAGGTTATTTGACAAATTTTTCTCTTAAATAAAGGTTTTTTTTCTTTCATAGTTCACTAGAAGGAGACCAGCTGATGATAAAGTTACCGGAAGCTTGGTTTATTTCTGCAACATTTGGCTATTTTAGTTGTCGTTGAGGAACAGCAAATAGTAAAGTGGAATTTTTCTAGCCAAATACGTTGTTTCTAAAACTTTGCTCTT